ATGAATGAATGAATGAATGAATGAATGAATGAATGAATGAATGAATGAATGGATGGATGGATGGATGAATGAATGAATGAATGAATGAATGAATGAATGAATGAATGAATGAATGAATGAATGAATGAATGAATGAATGAATGAATGAATGAATGAATGAATGAATGAATGAATGAATGAATGAATGAATGAATGAATGAATGAATGAATGAATGAATGAATGAATGAATGAATGAATGAATGAATGAATGAATGAATGAATGAATGAATGAATGAATGAATGAATGAATGAATGAATGAATGAATGAATGAATGAATGAATGAATGAATGAATGAATGAATGAATGAATGAATGAATGAATGAATGAATGAATGAATGAATGAATGAATGAATGAATGAATGAATGAATGAATGAATGAATGAATGAATGAATGAACAAAATCCTCTTTAAATACCTCGCCTAATTCAACCAGACATAAAAAAAAATGTTGGATAGAGCAAAAACTGTTTGATAAGATTCAATGAAATCATTTGATGAACATAATCTTTTCTCTCCCTCCTCTCTCTTTTTCTTTCTCTTTCTCTTTTTCTCTCTCTCGCTCTGGCTTTCATTTCTTCTCGTTCTCTTGTTTTCTGTCATTCGAATCTCTCTCTCTCTCTCTCTCTCTCTCTCTCCTCCTTCTCCCTCTCTTTCTCTCCTTCTGGTTTTCTTTTCATCTATACATGCAATATTTTAAGTGTATAAATATTTTGTGTAGATACCTCAACTGGAGCTAGAAATGAAAAAAAATAACCTGAGAATATAAAAATAAAACATAGCTAAAATAACTTGTGTACGTGCGTTTGTTTGTTTGTGTGCGTGCGTGTATTTGTGTGTTTGTGTGTGTGCGTGCGTGCGGGTTTGTGTGCGTGCGTGTGTGCGTGTATACATACTGCTATATATACATACATCCATTAGATATTTATGAATAATGAAAAAATAAACACAAATGCGTGTAGGACAAAGGTATGAGAAGATGAGAATAATTTAGAAAAATATCGTTTTTAGTGTTGCTTGTTTGCAAACATACATAAAAAACCCATACATACATACATACATACATACATACATACATACATACATACATACATACATACATACATACATACATACATACATACATACATACATACATACAAACATACATACATACATAGATAATTACATGAAGCAAACATGGCTGAACAAACAAACATATGTGCAGTTACACAAATTAGTATATGCGTAATTAAACATACAAACAATTGTACTAATGCAATATAATTGTTTACATACATCAATATACAAATTCATACGGGCATGCTTAAATAAAAATATACATACATACAAACAAACACAGACAAACATGTATACAAACAAACAAATTTACAATAATAAATACACACACATGCAAACAGATACGTGCGATACACAAAGATTTCATTGTTTATTCCTCAACAATAAAAGCCAGTAACAAGAAATTACTACTCGCTATCATTATCATTTTTCACTCTCTGTCATGAATTTATAAAAATTGTAGCATAATTTAATCAAAAAAATTGTTTTGAAAAAAGCATTTGGCGTTTAACTTTTCAAGTTAGGTCACGTTTCACGCCTTTAAAAGCAGATGATATTGCTTGGTGAAACACTTCAAACCATAGCAACTAAATCTAGGCGGTAGCAAAATAAAACCAGCAGTAGTAGCAACACACACATATACAATATATCTTCCAAATAGTATAATAGAATTTCTAAAAAATTATAGTATATCTTCTAAAGATACTAGTGCAAACTTTTCCATTTCGTAACTTTTTCCAAAGTCGGAATCGGCTGCTAAATGAATGGCAAATGAATGCTTTATATACGTACGAAGGGTACATTACATGTATGAACATACACATACATACATGTAAATATATTTTTATTATATTGTATAAATATATCGTATATATATATGTATATATATATGTATATCACCCATATATGTATATATATATATATTTATTCATCAATATTATATATATATATAAACATTAGTGGCACAACATAACGCATTATTTGATGAATAAATGGAAGAAAGAATTTGTTAGGTGATTATAATTATTATCATTAATATTATTATTATTATTATTATATTCTGAATAATTAAACTATATATTTAAATATATATTATATCGATATTATATATATATATATATATATATATATATATATATATATGGTTTATGATTTAACAATTTAGTTGAAAGGTTGATTATTTTGTCTTGAATTCATCTATTTACTTGCTGTAGTTACTATAGCAAAACATTATTCAGAAACAATGAAACATAAATGTTATTACGGATTTTTTTCTTCAAATTAACGATTACGTCATTGTCGCAAATGCGTTCTTTCTTTCTTTCTTTTTTTTGTTGCAGTTTATGTGAGTATATTTTTTTTTCACATAGCAGAAGACTTCAAGTTGAAAAGTCTACCGCTGGGCTCCCCATACTAGGTTCGTTATTTCGTCGTGATTACTATTACAAATAACTATTATTAACAATTATTATTATTATTATTATTATTATTATTATTATTATTATTATTATTATTCATTAGATGGATGAGATAGATAAGGTAAGATAAAAATTGGATAGATACATTGAGATACATTAAGATAGATATTAGTGTCATTATTGTTGTTGTTATTGTCATTGTTATTATTGTTATTATTATTAATTGTAATTGTATCATCATCATCGTCGTCAACATTATCATCTTTACTATCATCATCTTCATCATGATCACCACTACCAGCACCACCACCATCATCATCATCATCAACAACATCAGCATCAGCGTTAACATCAAACATCAAGGTTCTCACTCAGATATAACATACATTTGACGTTTGAACGTTTTAACATTGCTTTCTCCTAACATTGCTTTTTCATA